AACACAAATAATCACCAAGGGTCTGAAACTTTAGCATAAAGTAGCTGCCTAGGACTAACAAAGTAAGTTCTTTTGTACATAATTTGATGTATGAAAGTATTATAGAAATGTCCGTGGAACAGTCCCTTCTTAGCCTGTCAGATTTTGTAAACTGACCTACTGAGTGTCCTACACTCAGAATATTCAATCCCAGCTGACTAATTCTTCTTGGTGCTCATCTACTGATTTTAACTTCTTAATTTATAAGCCTCAATGAAGCCCTAACAATAATAGTAGCAAGAACTTTCTCACGTTTAGTATGTACTTACTTTTTGCCTTATAGTTTTCTAAATAGTTTACGTTTACTTAATCATTTAATCATCAAAATAACCCTATATTATTATTCTCATTTTAGATGACAGAACTGACCCAAAGAACATATATCAGTTAAGGTCATATGTCAAAACAACAGAATATTTTCTAAATATTTGAATCAAGGGATACCAAATTCAAAGAATTAGTTATATAGGTAACAGAAGACCTGAGAAACCAAACAAGGACAGTGAGCTAAACCAGAGTTTAGCAACAGCAAGAGCTCTTTATGATTTTTAAATTGGAGAGATGATGGAAGCAAGCAAGATTTCCACAAGGACCTTGAACCAGGGTAGGCCAGTCTGGTGAGAGCTAGAACCCCCAAAGACATATAGCCCAAGGAGGTGCCATCCAAAAGGAGAAGAAGGAGAAAGAAATAGCCTAGCTTTTTTCTTTCTCTCCCTCCTGCTCCTTTACCCCCAGTACAATACCTATGCCTCTCATTGGCCAAATCCATTCTGAAGCCAGCTGACCTGAGAGCATGGAATATGCAGGAATAATCTTTTCTGTGATTCAGAGAATAACAATAGAAATACATGGAATTTATCTGATAGCAAACAGGCAAGGGATTGTACCAAAGGCTTAAGTTGCTTGAGATCATAGAGCTAGCAGTCCCTGGGTTGTTCTTTGGGATTTGTCTATGTGTAGCAATCATGAACCTTGAATGCAAAAGACAGAGGTCTTGGGAAGTGACATTAATTTATGTAGTTTTCTCTGTCCATATATGTCATAGGATAATTTCAGGGAAATGTATGCTTACCACTGTAGAAGAGGAAGAAAAGTAAGAATGAGAAAGGGTCTGGGGACTGTAAATCATTTTCATTGCCGGAGTATGCGTTTCAGCATGTTCGAGGTAAGGTGAGCAAGTGATTCAGACTAGAAATCTCCACTTTTATGCTGGCTCTCAGTTGATAAAGCATAATTTTTTACCCAAGTAGACCTTGCTTTAAAGGTAGAACTTGCAAAAAAAATAGTTCACATTAAACTAGATTTCTATTTCAGAACTCTTGCCCCCAAAATTATTCTAATGGAAAGGCCAATATTGGCTTTAAAGTGTTAATACATCTTTTAGCAATATAAAAGGTTATGGGATGGAGCAGGAAAAAGGATATTTAGTGGCACATAGTAATGAAGTATAGGATTAAGTAAAGTAGATTAAATATGACTGTTATGAGCTGAATTGTGCTCCCTCAAAATTCATATTTTGAAGTCCCAACCCTTAGTACCTCAGTATATGACTGTATTTGGGAGTAAGGTCTTTAATGAAGTGACTGAGTTAAAATGAAGCTGTTAGAGTGGGGCCCTAATCCAATATGACACCAGGGTAGTATGTGCACAGAGGGTCAACCACATATGAAGAAGCAGCAAGACAGTGGTGTCTGCAAGCTGAGAAGAGAGGCTGCAGGAGAAACTAAACATGCTGACACCTTTATCTTTGACTTCCAGATCCCAGAACTGTAAGAAAATAAATTTCTGTACTTTAAGCCACCCAGTTTGTGATATTTTGTTATGGCTTCCCTAGCAAATTAAAAAGCAATATTTGAAGATTATCAATGCATAAGGCACCTTTGACTGCTGTAGATACTAATAATGATATGCTTTGTCATATAAAACAATATGGCTGCCAGAATCGCAAAGCTGTCCAATTGGAATAAGAAGTTAAAGTTAGACATGTAGTGCAAAAGCATAAATAAACTTGGTTTCTCTCCTTCTTGGCTGCCCACTTAATTCAATAAGCATTTTATTGTGCATGTATCAGGCGGATAGTACTCTTACAGTTTCGAATCAATGAACGCCCTATCACTGAATGGTACAATTGTGACATCATAGAAAGCTCCTCTTTGAATAATGAGGTATAATAATAATAATGTTTATGGTTTCTTTATTGGTGGGGAAAAAAATTTATCCCAGAACGTCAATACACCTACCTAAAGAAGGAAAGTAATTCTTAACCTCCTTGAAGAAGATTTAAGAACCACTCTTTTGTCATAGAAATTATTCAAATCTACACTATTAATTGAATGTTTCTCTCTTATTCTTGTCTTATAATGTGCTTTAGTAACATATTAGATTTTTGGTGTCCAGAAATGAATTTTCAAACCCTTTCTAAACAAAGAGAAATGAATTATCAGTTTCCTTGGTTCATATACAAGTCACAGTACTGAATATTGTTAGAAACATTATTTTGATCCAAAACAGAAAAATAAACTTGTTAAAAACTAAATTTTACATTTTATAAGAAATCTATCACTTTATGCATTTACCTGAATGTCAACAATCCAGAGTAATGCAACAATTTAAGAAATATCAAATTGTATCCCGAGGCTATCTTATTCTAACAACTATATATATATTAAGGCTGACTTCAGAACAGCAAAACTGACACTGGGACAAATTTTTTAAATGAATTAGGATATCTGGCAATGGGTCTTATGTGCAAATTTATCTCAAGTTCTCAAATTTCCATCTTTTATTCACTCCAATTATACTCTTTCTAAAAAAGAATGCATATAGGAAACTTGAAATTTTCTTATTAAAGTTCTGCAAAATAACAATTAAGTTTAAAAAATATTAAATAGGAAACCATCAGAAGTAAGCTGGGCGCCGGCCGAGTGGCGCTATGGTTAAGAACTCGCTTGGGATGCCAGAGGGCCCCGGTTCGGATCCCACATATGAGGGCCAGTGACACTGCCCTCCACAGCTAAGATGCTGAACAA